AGAGCAACCCTTGGTAAGCCCTGAGCAATGTCTCCAGGCCCACTGACTTTACTTTGAGAAGGATCTAGTAACACAGTCTTGGCTAACCTGGAACTCTGTATGTAGACCAGGATGGCCTTGAACTTGTAACAGTGTTCCTACCTTTATCTTTCAAATGCTGAGATTATCAAAACACACCACCATCCCCAGCTCAGGCACAAGACTGTGCGAGCCTGGGCATATGTGCACACAAGCAGATGTGCATTCGCTCACATGTGTGTGTAGAGGCTAAGGTTCAGTATCCTCATCAGTCACTTCTCCACCTTAAATTTTGTTTAATTACTATTTTTTATGTATATGAGTACACTGTCGCTGTCTTCAGACACACACCAGAAGAGGACATTGGATCCCATTACAGAGGGTTGTGAGCCACCATGTGGTTGCTGGGAATTGAACTCAGGACCTCTAGAAGAGTAGCCAGTGCTCTTAACCTCTGAGACATCTCTCCAGCCCTCCACCTTAGTTTTTTGAGACAGAACATCTCACTTAAGCTGGAGCCCACCAATCAGCTAGAAAGCCTGGCCAGCAAACCCCAGGGACCCATCTGTCTTCTCAGTACTAGGATTCTAGATAGGTGCCACTGAGCCCAGCTTGTTTGTTTATGTGGGTGCTGGGGCTCTGAACTCAGGCCCTCATCCTGGATTCCAGGTACTTTACCAACTGTCGTCTCCCAAGTCTCCAGGCTCAGGGCTGTTAAGGAAAAGAATCTGTTTCCTCTGTGCTGAGTCTGAAGAAAAGAGAATGTGAAGCTGGGAGCTGTTGCGACCATTTCAGAAGCCCAAAGACTAAACTGTACAGGGACAGCTTGCAAAGCAGAGGTCAGTGAGCTACAGGGCCGGATGGCATTTCACTGGCAAATGACCTGTACCACAAGCTGCGCAGACACTGGCACCACCTGAAGCTTGACTGCCAGCCAGCCAGCAAGCTCTTTCTCTGCCTTTGTAGTTTGGGTTGGTTTTCTTGTCATTTATTAAAAACAAATGTATTGGTTGCTTACAAGTCTAATGGAACTCAGTCTAATTAAAGCACCTCATAGCTCAGTGGGGCTTAAAGTGAGTGAGCTCGGGAGACGGGATCAGGGTGCAGCTTGGGCTTGCCCTGCAGGGCTGTTTTTTTATGAGGGGGGGTTGTTGAGGAGAAATTTTAAATGACTTCCATTGTTTGTTTAAAGGAGGAGTTGGTTTTTTTCAAGGCATAGTTTCTCCATGTAACAACCCTGACTGGCCTTGAACTCACAGAGATCTGCCAGCGTGTGCCTCCCAAGTGCTGGGATTGAAGGCTGACGACACCACTGCCCGGCTGGATAATTTACTCTGTACACCAGGCTAGCATCAAGTTAGTGGATAACTATCTGCTTTGGCCTCTAAAGTGGTGAGATTGAAGGTGTATGGCACCATCCCCACCCCCTACATTTTGTAATATAAGGGAATTAACTTCTTGCTATAAAGGAATCTCTTAGAATTTATCAGAGCAACTCAGGCTAAAGATGCTGGCAAGAGGGCCAGACCCAGACAGGACTTTTTATGACTTGTATTTTAACTATTCCTTTGTAGGTGCACAGAAGGGGCTCCTGGAGAGCTTTGGGAGTGGATCTCAGGATTCTGCTGCCCTGATCTCATATGTGGCTGGAAGTTGTTTTTGTTGTTATTGTTTATTTTTTTAAGATTTTTATTGTTTCTATCTGGGTATGGTGGTAGAAGTTTTTAATCCTAGCACTTGGGAGACAAGAGGCAGAGGAGGTGGATCTCTGTGAGTTCAAGACCAACCTGTTCTTCAAAGGGAGTTCCATGACAGCCAGGACCACAAAGTAGGATCCTGTCTCAAAAAAAACCTTGTGTGTGTGTGTGTGTGTGTGTGTGTATGGGTGCCCATACAGGCCAAAAGGGGCTATCAGGTCCCCTGGAGTGAGAGTTACAAGTGTTTGTGAGTTGCCTGATGTGGGTACTAGGTACCAAATTGTGGTCCATTATCAAGACCAGCAAGTGTTCTTAACCACTGAGCCATCTCTCCAGGCCCAGAATTTATTTTTACACTAATTATGTATCTGTGTGTCTGCGTCAGGGTTTGTGGACATGATGAATGCCTTAGGAAGCCAGTAGCCTTGGATCCCACAGAGCTGTTCACGCCCACTGGATGTGGGTGATGAGAACCAAACTTGGGTCCCCTGTGAGAACGATACTCTTCCTTTATCAATGGGCCATGTCTCAGTCCATTGGCAGTAAAGTTTTAATGGTGGATCTGACAGCTGTCATCATGTAATTCTCAGCTATCCCTGCTGGATAAAGGTTCACAGATATCATTAATTCTCTATATGTACTAAACCACTATATTCCCCCATTTTTAGAGGCCAGAGACAGACAAAGAACACCCTGACCTGGGGGTTATCATAGAGCCTGCTGGTACCCACAGCTACCTAGACAGCCAGCAAGGAAGGGACAGCAGGGAGTGCTTGCTGAGATGTGTAAGAGATACCAGCCCTCACCTCAGTGAATCAGTTTCCCTGCCTGTGTTCCGAAATGACTGCCAGCCTCAGAACAGCAGTGTCTGTCCCATGTCCCTTGCCCTGGGCCCATGCCTGGCTTGGCTAGCAGCTTTAGCTATGCCACAGTACCTATCCTCTACTTTGTCTCCTCCTGTCTTCCTCCTCAGCCTGCAGGAAGTGCAGTCCTGCAGTGACATTAACCTCTGACCACATGTGAACCGTAACTTGTCACCTACCGCACCAACATCTAAGGCGGGCATAGTCTATGTTTTCCTTTCCACATTCAAGTTCAGCCTAGAACCTGGCTGAAAGTGATTATTTGATAAGTGACACCTGAGGAGACGTATTATTCGTAAATGATGACAATGACAGCATGCCCAACACAAGCCAGAATCAAACAAACTTACCGGTGAGTGGGTCACTGTCGCCCTCTTCTGGCCATGCCAGGGTGTCTTCCTCTTCACTTCCTGGGTTGTTCAGAACTCACCTCCCCCCCATATCCCCCACCACCACCAGTTCCTTTTGAACTTTGGGAGTGTGGCCAGGGACCTGAGCAGTTCCTGTCTCAGGTGTCAGGCCACTAACACTGCTGTCACCCTCTGGTTTCCAAACCTTTGGAACCAGAACCTTCTGGTTTAGAGGTCACAGGCTGGTGGTTCCTGGAGAATGTGCCCAAATTAACATTCAATTCGGACGTGGATGTCTGATGTGGAGGTGACACAGTTGTCCTACAAAGGCAGCACTTAAGAGTCTGAGCCACCAGCCGGGCGGTGGTGGCCCATGCCTTTAATCCCAGCACTTGGGAGGGAGAGGCAACAGATTTCTGAGTTCGAGAGTTTGAGGCTAGCCTGGTCTACAGAGTGAGTCCCAGGACAGCCAGGGCTACACAGAGAAACCCCGTCTCAAAAAAAACTAAAAAAAAAAAAAGAGTCTGAGCCACCCTGTCTCAGACTATCCTTAGGACACAGCCAGGGACAAGAGACTTGGTGCTCCAAGGCCTTAGTGACTGCCGCAGCACCCAAAGAGAAAGATGATCATTCCCAGATTAGAGGTCACAGTCTTTTCCTAGGTAAGCAGCCATGTGACCATGACTGACACTGGGTACCAGGGGTACCCAAATGCAGAAGCATGCTATCTGATGCTGTGAGTAGCAGTGGGAGTAACCAACAATGCCAGATCTCTGGAGGGTCCAGGTTTCCTCTTCCTCCCACTGAACAGCCTAGTGTCTATAATTCCATCCCTAGGTGGCAGACACAAGCCTAAGTTGAAAGTGACCACATCCCCAAGTGAAGGGACTGTGTACAGAGTCTTTCTCCCCACACATCCAGACCTTATGAGGTCCCTGTGCCCCACAGGCCCCGATTTGGCAGGAAGACCAGAGTTGTCTGGTCCTATCCATCTCTGCCCTGGGGCATCCACAAACTGGCCACAGACAACACACACGCCCTCCAGACTTCTCAGCTGTTTTATTATTAATATTATCTTCTCCTTTAAGCATCCCTTTAAGGGTGAAATGAAATTCAACCATTTACAGAGAAAATGATTTCAGAATGTACATATTGATTTTTCCTTTACAAAAAAAATAATACTATTATTATTATTATTATTATTATTATTGGTGTCCTTAAATTACACATTTCCCAGGGCCCTACCTTCTTCTTGGGTGAGTCCTGTTTTCCCACCCTGAATCTTGTTTGTTCCCAAAGCTTCATCAAGCTTGTCTCTTATAAACACTGTGACCCTTGGATGTTTGAGGCCAGCTGGATGCCTGCACAGGGTTCCTTGGGTTTGGAGGTCACAGGCCGGTGGTTCCTGGAGAATGTGCCCACATTCACATTCAATTCGGATTCCCTTCATATTGGGGGGAATGGTCTTGGGTCCCCTGTCCCTCAACTTCCCAGTGTATGCTGTGGTTATATGTGAAACTCTCTAGCTCCCATCTCTCACGGGTGGCCTCTCAGCCCATGGCCAGGCCTCTTCCTGCCTAGTTGAAACTATTATACTATCTCCCCACTACTAGTCTGAGAAGGAAGGCCAGCCCAGAAGACCTGTGCTTTCCCAGTGTCCTTCTCCCTCTCTGAATTGGTCACTTATGGGTAGGAGCCCTGAAATGCCTGAAACAGGACATCTATGAAGCAGCTGGGGGGTACCAAAAGTGTGGGGGTAAGGATTTCATTCAAGGGGGTAGGTATCACACAGAAGCATCCACAGACATCTCAAGAGAGAGTCCTGGCTCAGATGGACTCATAAGTCTCTGGGATGCCCTGACTTCTGCAGCCACCTCTCAGCCCCAGGAGGAACCAGAGAGGAAGGCTCTTTGAAGGAGAGGTTCCATGGGGGACGTCCCTCAGTGAGAGGAGAGGAACCATCAAGGCCTTCCTCTTGCTTCATGCCTGTTTGCCAGAGCAGCTACCATACTATGCCCACTACCTGGCAAACTGCTCCAGACAGTTACATCCAGGAGATGCTGGGGTGGCAGCAGGAGGAAGTGGCGGGCCAAGAGGGGCTGAGGGAGTGGTGGGCTCTCAGCTGCATATCCCTGTAGCTAGGAAGATTCCATTCCTCAGACTGAAAAACAGAGACAGACAGACAGACCCTGTACTCCCTTTTAATCTTGCTTTCAAGGTTCCCCCAAGGATTTCCCACCTCAGGCATCTTGTGGAGTCATAGGAGATGAGATTCTAAGATCTAAGTCCTGAGGAAGAGGACAGCCAAGCCTAGGCTCCTACACCCACATGTGAGTATCATCTTTGTACAGGGACACATGGATACAGACATGTACAATACACACCAAGCATGCACCCATGCCCATAAATATACACGCACGCACAAACACGGACCATTCCACAGGTAGCCCTGCATACTGGCATCAAGGGAACATCGGGGGCCTCAGAGAGAGGCACCCACTCTTCCCATACTCCTGCAAGCCCCCACTGTACCTCAACCCCAGGGCAGTTAGGAAGAGAGCAGGGTCATGAGCAATCACTTGTACCCCTCCTGTAAAGGTGCTGCTGGTAATACAGAACTCTCAAATTAAGGCAGGCACATGGCAGTCCTGCTCAAAACTACATTTCCCAGTTTTCCTTGCAACTACCTATAGCCATGCAGCTAAGTCCTGACCAGTAAGACGCTATCAGAAGCAACAGACACATCTGACTCCTGCCCTTCACAGGAAAGAGTCCACACATCCTCCTCTTATCATGTGAGCAGGTGCAGCCTCTCTATCCAGACCTGGAAGTTGTATGTGAATCTAAGCTGACTATCTAACAGGCATTGGACCATCTCTCCCAGACTATTTACTTAGCAACAAGCTGGTCTTACTTTAATTACTGGTTGCCAAGGGACTTCTACAGGAGCTTAGCATCTTCTCAAATACATCCTGCACCCCCACACAGGCAAATTAAGAGGAATGGGTTGATAAACTATTGACCTTAAAGTCTTTTCTTGGACCCTGGAAAACCTTGTGGCCCCTTCCTGGCCCCTAGCCTGCTCTTACAGGGGTGGGGGTGTAGTGGCACAGGAATGGTTATATCTGGGTTTCTGTAAAACAGAACTGGATGCCAGCAGAGTGATGGGGAGGGAGAGAGGGACATAGAGGCCTCTGTCAGTCTCCTCCTCTTGTCCCACCTACCATACTGGCTGTCCATATGGTCTCCAGCTCTTGCCCCACCCCGAGAACGAGACTCCCAGAGTCCTTTGCAAGCAGCTTCCACAAGACAGCAACAGGAAAAGTGACAACAGTCATCAAGGGTATATTTGGAACAGAGGAAGATTCCTCAGCACCCCCAGCATGTCTCCTTACAGAGGCAGGGGGACTGACAGCCACCGGCGCCATCCTCCCAGCCATCCGTGACCTCACTCCTTAGGTCCAACATGTCTGAGGAAGCAGCAGAGTGTGCTCTCTCCAGGGTACCATTTTCCAGTGCTTCCCTAGCTTCTTGGCCAAGATCAAGATGCACTTTCTAGTCCCTCCCTTCTGTCTCTTCTTGCTCCTGGACCCAAATGCAGTTATTTACAGGATGCTGGGAACTCCTGGCATGGTATAGCTCCTTGTCCATTACAGGTTAACAATCCAGGATGTCAAAGATGGGCTTCTCTCAACTAGACTGAAGTTCCATAGCACTCCCAGCCCCAGAAAACCACCTCATGTTCTCCAGGAACACCTCTTTCCCACAGCACTCTTGGGGACAAAATGCTGCATAGATGTCTGGGCTTTCTCTTCTCTACTAGAAAAAAATTTTTTTCTTTTCTGTTTTGGGATAAAAGGCCTGACCCTTAATTCTAGGAGGGCTTGAGCACAGAGGACCATCTACAAGTTCTCCTGGCTCTCTCAAGAGCCCCAGGATAAGGAGGAGGCAAAACACAACATTGGGTTAGCTATCATCTCAGCCTGCCCAGCCCTGTGAAATTGCACAGCCCTAGCCCTCCACTGCATCCAACTTGCCCCTGACAACAGATAGCTTTCCATCTGAGCCCTGGTTCCGGCGCCCACCCTCTACAGTACTTTGGGGCTCCCGGTAGGGATTTTCCAGCAAGTAGCGGAACTTGTCATAGTTCTTGAGCAGGTATTTAGGAGCATACATGTGCTCACTGGGGTCTGCAGGAGGGTACTCCTGCTGCGTGCCGTCGAACCATCCCCCTGTGCGAATCAAGCTGCGGATGTAATTGAGGTCCCTTTTGTCCTCATAGTCACCCCAGCGGGGGAAGTCGCCATTCTGGGCCGACACGAGTTTGAAGTAGATGCCCTCGGGTGTGAAGCACCAGGAGCAGTGCCAGCCTGCGAAGTGCAGGGGGCTGCCGAGAGACCACTGAACTAGGATGTGGCCGGTGCGGTTCTCATAGTGCCGGAAGTTGGGCATGGTGTAGTACTGGCGGCGGCGCAGGCGGATACCGTCCAGCCCATACACGGCCTGCAGCATGTCAATGGTGCAGCCCGACACCACCTCCAGTGTGCCCGGTTGCTTCCAAAAGAAACCATACAGGGACTTGCGCATGTGGAAGGCGAAGGGCTCTGTCCAGCCGTCATAGAGCTTGAGGAACAGCACACCATCACGTGCAGGGATCTCATCTGCATCATCGATGATAAAAACGTCATCGGGTCGCAGGTTGCGCAGGCGGGAGACACCATCCTGAGTGAGGAAGGTGCGCAGGTAGTCATCTGCAATCCAGCCATCCTGACGGCCACCTGGTGGGAAGTGGTCCAGGAAGACGTAGAGCACCTTGTGGCGGATGTACTCGAAGGTGCCATTGGTCAGCATCTCTCGAAACTTGAGCGGCCGAGGCTCCCCGTAGGCGGTGAAATTAGATTCGCAGACCACAAAGGCGTCCACGACATCGCCCAGCTCATGGAAGCGCACATCCAGCAGGTCAAACTCGTGGTTGATGTTGATGGCGTTGATAACGCGCCTCGGCACTTCCCTAGGTACCAGACGCTCCTTGGTGGGCAGGTTAGAATACTGCACCACCGTGGGCACCCCGCAGCTGGGCCCGTGCCAGCCTGGCAGGCACACACACTCAACCCACTTGCGCCTGGTGCCCCGGCTGCCCAGGCGCTCCCGCGTACTCAACACATGCCGTGTAGGCCTCCGAGCAGGACCCCGAGCCGAGGAGCCCTCAGCCACCTCGGGCTTCTCCTCTGTCCGCCCAGGAGAAGGTTTCTCCAGCATCCTGGTACCTGGTTTGAAGCACACACCGCCAGCTTTGGTGCGCACAAAATACTCTGTGGTGTCCTCTGGCAACACGAAGTCCACCCGGTGCAGTTCCTCGGTGGCCTTGCTGGGGGACAGTGGCTGGAGCAGGGGGGAGTGAGAGTAGAGTGGAGTCCGCAACAGGTCGGGGCCACCCGGCTCCGGACTGGCCTGGGGAGTAACAGGGGCATTGTTCCAGAAGAAACTGGAGACGAGGTTAGGACTGAGGGAGGCCAGTTCTCTGGGGAAGGTGACATAGGATAAGGTCTTAAAGAAGTGCAGGAATGAGATGAGGCACAGGCCGGCCATACAGAACATGAGAAAGAGCTTGTAGCGTCTCATCTTCATCCTGCAGGAGATGGAGAGAGCGAGAAGTCAGGGCAGCCTGAGGCTCCTGTCCTAGGAAGGGGACCTGAGAGAAGTTCTAGCTGTAGTCATCTGTGAGAATGTCCTGCCCTCAGTCACCCATCTTCTTCTGTCCTCAAATGTTCACTGTCCCAGGCCTTTAATGACACAGGTCACACACCTTTAATCTACAATACTTAAAAGGCAGAGACAGGTAGATCTCTGTGACCTGGAGGCCAACCTGGTCTACATAGTGAGTTCCAGGACACCCAAGGTTGTATTGAAAGACCCTGCCTCAAAAAAACAAAAAACAAAAAAACAAAACAAAACAAAACTTGACTGTACCAATACCCCTGTGCTCCCAGTTCCCACAGCCCTGAGACCCACCACATGTCACCTCTCTGTAGACTGCTCCTCCACCAGAAGCCACACACTGCTCATCAGGGCTAGGCTTGGTTCCTGGAACAAAATGCAGCAGCCAGGGCGAAACTGTCCTAGAGGGTGGCAGGCTCCAGTGGGTAGAGGGTGGGGTGTGGAACAGCTGCCAAGTGCCCAGGGGCTTGTTGATGCCCTGCCCTAGGCTACTGTTCCTTTTATATTTTCCCTTCTCTTTCTTTTCTTTCCTTTCCTCCTTCTCCCTCTTCCTTTTTCTCTCTTCTTTCTTTCTTTCTTTCTCTCTTTCTTTTTTCTTTCTTTCTTTTCTGTATGTGAGGGAATCAACCAAACCTTTTCCATGAATTTTCATAGAAAAATGCTGAGAGACTAAGAGTTTTAAGGCCCTCATTTTGGGATTTGAAGACCACTAAACTCATCAAGGTAAGAAATCAGGCCAAATTCTAAAGGTAGGAAAGTGTGTTCCTTAAGCTGCCAGCACCTTCCCCACATGCTGGAATGGCCTCATTTTATTAGCGACAAGACTCCTCAGACCTTCTACTTCCAATGTCTGTGTATCCTGGGAAGTCAGTTAAATTGGTTACCAGAGACCTGTCAATGTGGGCTGGGGAGACGATCCGGAGGCTATGAGCACTAGCTGCTTTTCTAGAGGATGCAAGTTCAAGTCCAGCACACATGTGGAGGCTTGAAATTTTAACTCTAATTCCAGGGGACCTGACACCCTAACATACATGCAGACAAAACACCAATGCACATAGAATAAAAAAAAAATTTTTTTTTTTTTTGGTTTTTTCGAGACAGGGTTTCTCTGTGTAGCCCTGGCTGTCCTGGAACTCACTCTGTAGACCAGGCTAGCCTCGAACTCTCGAACTCAGAAATCCACCTGCCTCTGCCTCCCAAGTGCTAGGATTAAAGGCGTGTGCCACCACCACCCAGCAAAAAAAAAAAAAAAAAATTTAAATCATTCGGGAGGGGAGAGAGAGAGCATGCTGTGAAGAGGTGTGTATATATATATATATATATATATATATATATATATACATGACAAGGTCTCTAGGTCTTTATTATTAGCTCTGGCTGTCCTGGAGCTCGCTATGTAGGCCAAGATGACATCAAACCCACAGAGATCAGCCTGCCTCTGCGGGGTTAGGGCTGGGGATTAAAGGCTTTCGTGCATTACCACACCCAGCCCAACTAGTTTTAACCTGAAATCGGATCAGAGTTAAAGCTTTCCTCCTTCCTCTCTAGATGCAGAGAGATCTCCAACTGAGGACAGCAACTCCGAGCTCAGAGGATGGAATTCCTTCCTTTGTTTCTTTATTTTGTTAACTGGGACCTACCAGTCTGCTTTATCCAAAAGTAAGGGTTTAAAAGTCCACATTTAATCTGCTTCCCAGTGCTGGGATCAAAGGCGTGCGCAGCCCCCACCACCTAGCAGAGAGCATGTCTTTCTATTCAACGGTGCAGCTGCCAGGAAGTGGGAGGATAGTAGAGTGGGGGCCTGGGAAAAGAACCAAAACCTTGAGAGGAATGTTTTGCTTTTTCTGAGTTTCTGGAGTTTGATCACAGGCCTTGCATGCCCAGGCACTTTCCTACTGAGCTCCATCCCCTGCCTTGACAGGAATGGTTTAAGAAAAGGCCAAAGATGCCAAAGGCTAGGTTTCTGTCCCGCTCCCTGCACAAGCTTGTCCAAAGTCTAATACTCTAAGTGCATTCTCTGCTAGGGGTGTGTGGGGAAAAGGCATTCATGCTTAGCACGCTGGAGGCCCCGGGTGGCACTCCCAACTCCAAACCCCACCAAAATAATAACATCAAAAATCCAAATAAGTTAGCGCAGTTAATAGTAGCATGCTGGTGTCTGTTTCCTCTCTGTAGAATAATAGTATCGAGGCTGAGTGGGAGCTAGACCAGCATCTCTATCCACAACCAGAAGCTATTTGAGAAATTAAATGGCACCAATGAATAGTAAGTGGTTAGTTCCCACGTCTGGTGAGCAGAGTGATTCATTTAGCAAAACAAAGGAAATGAAAAGGCTAGGCGTGTTTTGTGGAATTTAAAAGGAAAGGGAAGATCTATTTCTGTTAACATGAAAGTCTTTTCAATTCATTATTAATTCAAGAAAACAACTGGATTAGACCTAGTGTCTAACATGCTGAGATCTGAGAGTGATACTAAACCAAGAACAAAGAAATCATGCCCAGAAACCAGTCTGTTTATTTTTATTTTTTATTTGTTGTTGTTAATGATGTTGTGTGTTTTGTTTAGTTTTGGTTTTTGCTTTGTTTCAGACAGGGTCTCGTTGTATAGCTTTGACTGGTGGCCTTGAACTGCCATATAGACCAGGCTTGGCTTTGAGCTCAAAGATATCTGCCCACTTCTGCTTCCTGAGTGCTGAGATTAAAGGTCTAGGCCAGCAGGTCTGGCTGGCTGTTTGAGACAGGGTCTCATCATTTAGCCCTGCCCATCCTGAAACTCACAACATCGACCAGACTGGCCTTGAATATATAGAGATCCACCTGTCTCTGCCTCCTGAGTGTTCCAGGCCAGCCTGGTGTACAGAGTTGAGTTTTAGACAGTCAAGGTTACACAGAGAAACCTTGTCTTGAAAAACCTAAATAAATAAATAAATAAATAAGAAAGGTATGTTCCTAGCCTTTGGTAAGCTCCTCGACATTTTGAACCTGTCTTCATACCTGGGACCTGGGCATGGAGTTTCCGGTGCACCGTGGGTGCACAGGAAGGGCAGTAAACTTTCAACCATTCTAATGCTCCAGGCTGGAAACCTCCAGCAGGATCTTCTCTTAGATGTTTGATCATAAGACACAGCGTAATCAATGTAGACTCTCCCTTTCTTTTTAATCTTTATTTTGGTCACTGACTCAAATACAGCGTTTGGGCTAAAACAGTGTATATGTGAAATGGAATAAACAATCATTTGGCCTCAGGGCCTCAGTTAAGTCAACCTTTCAAGGGGTCACCGTGACCACAGTTTTTACAGACAGGAAACAGACTTGGAAGGAAGGCAAGACTTTGCTCAAAACACTATGATGGTGACTGAGTCACCACTTGAAAATGAATGCAGGTTCCTCAGGCAAACCTGCCTCTCTCACTCAACAGTACAGGAAATCCAGGTATAGTTAACATTGAGGAGCACACTGGGCCCATGCTCTGATGGACCTGCCTCTGTTACTATGTTGCGATGTTCCTGCCTCTGTTACTATGTTGCGAAGTTCTTGCCTCTGTTACCAGTTGCGATGTTCCTGCCTCTGTTACTATGTTTCGATGTCCCTGCTTCTGTTACTAAGTTTCACTGAGGCTTGATGCCTCACACCAGTTTCTGTCCTAAGCATGCTATGTGTGCAGCCTCACAGGATCTCCCCAACACAAAGCAGGTACCTGTGTCAGCCTCATATACATGAGGAAACCATAGCTAGAGGAATGAACTAATGTGTACATTACCACAGGGTCAGTAGGGTACTTAATTGCACAGAGTCAATGATGGCATCTCAGCCAGTGAGAACACTCTCTTGAGCCCTTTCCACCTGCTAAGTTGAACCCAAGTGGGATGACAGAGTCCACCCAGAGAATGTGCAGTGTGTAGCCAGCCACGGTCACCTCAGTCCACATTTCTACGTGCCAACACCATCCAATCACTGAGAACCTTCAGGGACAAACCGTGCCCAAGGGGAGCTTACTGTCAGTGTGGGATAAATCACTCATATAATACTGTGCAGGATAAAGAGCTCTGACCTGGGAAGTAATGACACAGGGTTAAAGGACAGATGGGTTCAGGCATAGACTCATGGGCTGGCCAGACAGGCTCCCTGAGCACTGACCTGACAGATCAAATGACTGGATTAAGAGACATCTGGAGAACTGTGCATGTGTCACTTCTGAGCATCTAGAGAGTATTTCCGGAGGTTTGACTGGGAAGGCTGTGGGAAGAGGGTACAACCTCTGTTCAGGGGTGCTGACCTTGGGACTCCAGGGCTTAGATCAGCAGCTTCTCGTGTTCCTGTCTTTGGGCAGATGGAGAATCACACCACTCACACTTTGTGCATCTGTGGCTTAAACTCAGACGAGGATACCTCGATGGGTTCAGAGAAAACAAGAGCAGCACCTAGTCAGATCATGCAGGGTTCAAGGTCAAGGTCAGGAGTGTAGATTGGGCTGGCAAGACGGTTCAGCAGGTAAAGGAACTTGCCACCAAGCCTGATGACCTAAGCTTCATCACTGGGATCCACACAGTAGGAGAATCAACTCTGGCAAGTTATCCTTCTTACTTTCATGTGTGCTTCACCTCTTCCCTCCAGAAATTGACTTCTAAGGTGGTAAAAGGGAGGGGCTATGGACAGATGAGTAGCTCTGACAAGGGTGGCAGGGAACTGTCAACTCTGGGAGATATGCAGATTAACTGGATGGGAAATAGACTGGCTTTGGGTAGCAGTCACTCTGCTGTCTGCATGGGGCTGGGAAGCGACCTGGGCAGGGATTTCAGCAGCATGTCTGATACTCCTTGCTCTCACGTTCCTTAGATAAGAGCTCTAGCTAAGAAGACAGGCCACTATCATATAACTGCCAGAAATGAAGGCGGCTCTAGGGACACCGCCA